ATGGGGGCGGGGGTGGGGCAGGGGATTGGGCATCTCATTTGGCATTTTTACAGTTGATTTGCAAATAAGAAGAGAACGAAACCTTGAGGAAACATGCAATTAATTACTATCCTTAATTGCAGCTATTACATTATCATCAATCATGGCACCCAAAATGGAACATACAGAAGTTAAAGAAAAACGATTCAGAATCAGAATCAGAATCAGCATACCTTGATCTGTGATGGTGACTGCATGCTGCTGCTAAAAGAGCGTGATCTAGCGTTGGCATATTCTTCCTTTTCATAGTGATGGTCATATCCAACATGAGAATGTAATTGATATGCTGAACAAATTCTGAATATATCATCACAAGGAATTTCAAATTGAGCATTCCTTGTGTCATTTGTCAGTATAAGTACTTTACAATTCATGTTTTCATTGGAAATTTCAGATGGAGGATCATATAACTGAATGGTAGGGGGAGTGTAAGTCACTACAGCTACTTGGGTGACAGAGTGGGGGAAAAGAATTAGGCCTTCCATGTATTTAATTAGCAAAGGCTCTGTTCTTCCCCCAATTTCACTAATCTTGACAACACTCAACAGGTATGGAGTTCTGTTTCTCAATAACAGAGCAACAACCACAGTTTCATTGGCATCACATGGCGCCAGAACCTCAAGAGATGCTGAAACAGGACTTGTAAGATCATCATATGCTGAATTCTCAATCAGTTCTGCTTCAAGAGGGACCATAACTGTGTCAACCTTATCTTTTGAAGATCTCAACAACTGCATGCAAAAAGCACCAGAAATTTTTCCTTCAGAATGATACAGGAAGTCTAACTCGATGATGGTTTCACTACTGTGAGGAGCAACCTCCCAACTGCTATGGGGCCTCATTGCCATTAGTGGTAGACCAAGTTGGTCACTTCTGATATCTAACCACTCTTCAGTGGCCAGCAGGCTAGGATCAGGGGCACTCTCAAAATTATGAATATGACATATGGCTTTTGTTGACTGGAAAGTATCCCCTGAAGAAACCGATATCCAGGCAGTTATTTCCTCCACATAGAGGGTTTCATTGAAAGGATTAAACAAAGACAAATTCCTACTCCACCTTCCACTGGAGGAAACATCAAAGCTGATTAAGGGCAGTATCCCATAAGGAGATTCAACAGCAAAGCCTTTAGCCTGGACCAGGAAACCACCTGAGCTTGTCTGCAAAACTAGGTGACCTGATGACAAGCCGAACGATGTAGGTAAAAACACAAAACAAAGTGAAGCCACTTCAGCAGGGCCCAGCATCATTTCACTAAAATTGCAAGGATAAAACTGTGAATTCGTACTGTAAGGTTCAAAGACCTTCAAAATGTTATCACTATGAGTATTTGCCACTGTTAGAAAAGCCACGGAAGGGAAATATAAATCCTTTTGTCCCCAGTCCAGCAGAGGAGGGCTTATCTCTACATGGGGAGACGAAGAACCATCTAAAAACACAGATTTTACTGTCTCAGAGTTCTCACTTGGCTTATATTTTGCAGTACTTTGGTCAAGTAAGGGTCCTCTACAGGAAGATACATCATTTCGCTCAACCACGTGGGTCCAAAGACATGACATGTCATGGATATCCTCTTGGAAGTTCAAAGAGCAAGAAACAACCCTTCCACTCAACAACTTAAAAATACCACAATTTGATGACCAGCTTAAGTTATTTCTTGCTGGAGTTGACTGCACAGATAATGTAGCATCAGACTGAACCCTCGAAACTTCCAGAACAGATGATTTATCATTAGGATATTCAGGCAAAAAGCCTGACAATGTTGAAGGAAAGCAGAAAAAATCTGAATTGGTACATACACTGTCAAGACTGAGAGGCACCGGCTTTCCATATACAAATTCAGAACTAACATCACCAGAAAATACTTCTTGAAACCCTGCATTATAATTATCACTGTAGGATCCACATGAATCATATCCTGCTGAATTCTGCAACCCATTCATGGAACATGGTCCACATGCAGCGAAGCAGAAAAGGGCACACAACAGAATCACCCAAAAATGGAGAGTCCCATCATGGTAAAAAGAACCCCTGCATAAACCAGATTTTCAATCAATTAGTATAATCAAACAGAAATTTAAATTGCAAGGAAAAAACCTCTTCTAAAAATAATTGAGTAAAACAACCAAGATGTATTTTCAAGCATGTCAAAGGAGCTCTAACACATCAGCATAACCATAATATTTTATCTTAAAAAGCACAAATTAGCAGAACTCTAATAATTCCTGTTCAAAAAACCATGGATACTAATGAGAGAACCACAAGACNTGAGTAAAACAACCAAGATGTATTTTCAAGCATGTCAAAGAAGCTCTAACACATCAGCATAACCATAATATTTTATCTTAAAAAGCACAAATTAGCAGAAACTCTAATAATTCCTGTTCAAAAAACCATGGATACTAATGAGAGAACCACAAGACCAAGAAAAAAAAAACTCATAAAAATATGACATTTGAGGATGTCAATGATTAAATGTTCCGTAGTCACGTTTATTTACCAGATAATTCAACTTTGAGTTTTTGCATTAACCATATATATCCAGTATTAACCACGCCCAAAATAGTAGGAATAGTCGATTTATAACATAGACAAAAACTTCCTATTTTAGCGGAAGTGCCCATTATCATCCCTGTTATAGCTTTATCCGCAAATTAACTAACAACACCTTAAATACAAATTTAAGCCCCAATAGGAATTACCAAAACAAGAAAAACAATAACAAAACGACATCAGATACTTCAACGTCTACAAAAGAGACACTTAAAGACTACTCAAAATACACCAAAAAAATGATCAAATTCACCAAAACCACAAGCTTAAGTCTCTACGACCAAAAAAATATCCCCAAAAACTTCCAAAAATCTTTATTTCACAATCCAACACGGATGAGAAAACACAACCTCAAGTATTTCAAGGAATACGGAATAAATATTCGTCAGTAAGCAAAAAAGTGCAGTAAAAAAAAAGAGCAACGATCGGAAGGTAAAGAAAAATGAAAAGCGTAGTATCCGGAGGGAAACGAAAAAGATGGAAATGAAGAGAAAATGAGAGAGAGAGAGTGACGGAGGTACCGGCGGTTGAACTTGGTGGAGAGTTGAGGTTGAGCTCTGATCTTTAGGGTTTGAGACTCCATCACTGAGAACCGAAACAAAGCATCTGGCTTATTTCTTTTCCGGATAGTGATTTTTGAGGAGTTTCTTCGCTTTGATTTTTTTGCCGAAATGCTGACACAGACACACACTCGCCAGATAGCAGTGAATGAATGGCCTCGGAGAACGAACGAGAAAAAGAGAAAAAAAATGACTTATGCACATGAAAATACTAAACTACCCACCCAACGTCACATGTATCCTCTGTAAAAAGTATTGCCAATAGCAGTATAAGTATTCTATAAATCATATTTAAATTTAATTTAATTTACTTTATATACGATTCATTTCAATTAATATTTAGTAAGTTTTTTAACAAGAAATAATAAGCAAGTTTGACTAATTTATTTGTTTACTACCCAAATTTCTTATAATTAAATTAGTTGTTCCTCCACATTTATTTTCATCCATCATACCCGTTTAGAATGGTCGAAATTCTAAATAGATGAATAATTTTTAGAAAAAAATTCAGTCACACTTTTTCTAGTTTATTATATCTTTAAGAACATCTATTTTTATTTTATGTATATTTACTAACACCTGCTGTCAGATTAAAAGTCTTGGCTAGAATATAATTTTATAAAATTGCTTATAATATATTTTAGAAAAAATTTCATCCTCCACATAGGCATATGTTTAATGATACCTTTCCTATTTTATGAATTTTTTTACATTTTAAAATTTGGGCTGATTAAAATTTGATTCGAATCATTCCAAAATTTGAAACATAAAAAAAATATAAATTTTAATCTACTCAAATTTTAATACATAAAAAATAAATTTTAATTATCTTGAATCGAATTTTAATCAGCACTAATAGCTCAAGTTTAGTTCAAATCGGCTTGAATTTTAATACGTTTAACAAAATATTTTAATAGGTTTAAATTTTAATGTGTAAAAAAATAAGTTTTAAGCAACTCAAATTTTAATATGTAGAAAAATGAATTTTAAATAACTCAAATTTTAATATGTAAAACATTAATTTTAATTTACTCAAATTTTAATCAAATTTTATGTAAAAATATTATTTGAGCTTTATGTAGAAGCAATTTTGATACTTTAGATACTTTTTTTTGTTAAAAATTATGGTTAAATTGCAAGGGTGGTATCAGTAATGTTTAAATATAAACTAAAAAGAGTGTTAATGATATTTTAGATAATAGAGATAATGTCTTTGAAGATATGATAAATTAAAAAGGATGTGACTGAAATTTTTCTTAAATTTTTTTATTTAATATTAATCTTGTATCGTGGTCTCAAGTCAAGCATAAAATTATCAATTCTAATTAATGTGGTGATTAACGTTAATGGTTGGGTAAATTGGTAATTTTATTAGGTGTCCTACATTGTCATTGTTGGGAGATTCGAAGACTTTGTATTGATTTTTGCTAATTTTAATAAAGATTTTTTTTTTCTTTGTACTGCGTGCGTGCATTAAAAAAATAAGATCAAATGTGCATTGAGAAGTTTACGAAGCAATAAAATAATACATAGTTAAAACTTGGAAAGTCTGTTTTGCCCTTTACGTGTGCGTACGAAATAGTTGCCAGCTCGGTTTTTAGGGCGAAAAGTGGAACACCATCGCGCGTATTGTGGTCCGAGCCAAAGCAGCATCGGACGGTTCGAGGTTCAACGTTTCAGGACACGTCACTCTTGCACAAATAGTGCTTCAATATGAAAAAAATTGTTGAGTGTAGCGTTGGCAGTGTCACGTGATGGAATTATTTATTAATAAAAAATAAATAAATTTATAAGTGACTTTTATAAAAATTCACAAAAAAAATATTATATAACTCAAATAAAATTTTAAAAATTATAATTTAAATACATATCATTCTTTTGATGAGTGTTGAATGAATGAGATCCATCAAAAAAATTGATGTGACTTATTCATTTAAAAAATAATATATAATTAAATTCTAATTTTTTAAATTTTATTTAAATTATATAACAATTTTTTTCAACTTTTTGGACCCCCCAAATTTAGCATCATGCATACCATATTGTGGTTACAAAAAAGGTGCGTACAAGAAGGGGTGTACGACAATCAAGCCCACTTTGTAATTGACGCTGGCAAATGTAGTGGGTATGGGTGGGTTCCACCCAAAATTTTTCTTTTTTCCTTTTTTTTTTTACCATACGGAGAATCTGTAATGCGGTCTTGCATTATTGGAAAAACATCAAAATCCAAGAACAATTTTGTGGTGTTTTTTTTCAGGGCATTTCGAGAATTAAAAAGGTGTACATTTGGTGTATTATTATGAATTAAAATAATTGTGGGTGACGTGAATTAATAAAATTAATAGGCGTATCTAAAAAACACAATTCATCTGGATGTCGGACTCAACCTCGTATAAAAAGAGGTGCTTCTTGAGATGTATGTTCATTTCATTGACTTTGGTCCAAATTCACCGCATCACGCTATCACGTGTATCACAAAAATAACTTACACTGCAAATGAAGATAAGATATGGATGATAAAGTAGAATATGAGATCAAGTCCCATGTGGAAAACTCATTTTATGATTAAAAAAAAAAAAAAAAAAAAGGGTGTTCCAATCACATTTTATTTACACAATTTATCCCCCCTTGTTCGAAATTATAATATTATTTAGTAATATTATTTGAATTTAATTTATTTACTTAATTGCTCTCAACTATTGAAGTAGTAGTAAACGTACTTTTAGATAAGACTTGCCACCAATTTAATAATTATGATATATTAACTCAATAAATTATGTTAAAATAATTTTTTTTTAACATCCATAATTTGTCACGATGTTTTGCCTAGGTTCTTTTTATTTTTATTTTTATTTTTATTTCATTTTTTTTGTTTTTTAGTTTTTATTCAACAATCAAGAATGTTCGAGTTAATATATGCACACCTCAACTAATTTTCTCTTCAGTCCGATCAAAGACAGATCATCCGCGCCAAGACTTCAGTATTTATAAAAAATAAATCTCTTATAACCTAATTTCAAAAAATTATCAAGATCAATTTGTCCATGTCATTACTTAAGTTATTTAATGAATTATGTCTTGTCTTGGTTCATGCATTACTCCATTGCGTGGTTTGGCCACCGGTCGTTTGGCTCTCGATAGTTCTTTAACGTGCATGTTAGTAGAGATGATAATAGATCGAAGCGGAGGTGGAGGATGTAATCTCCATTCTTATACCAGCTTTAAAAAATTCTATTCACCCCTTGTTAATGAGTATAGTTTTTATCCTTATTTTCATCTGTGGATAAATTTGTAATTCCTACCCTCACCCCCCACTTTCTCCCCCCGTCCACTTTACCCCCGTTCAAGTCCAAACTCAAATCAATATAATTCAAAATTCTAAATAAATCTAACAATTTAAATAATTTAATATATTTATAAAATTTCATAATATACTTAAAAATTTGTTATGTACAACATAATATAATTAAAACTTTATTTACAACACAATTCAACATAATATAATTAAAATTTTTGTCTCTCATGTAAGTCTAACACAACATCATGCAGCACAAAATAATATAAACATAACATAATCTAGCATAAAAAAATATAAAAATATAAAAATCTACATTTTTATAAACAAAAAATATAAAGAAAAAAAATAAAAATAAAATAATTTTTAAAATAACAAATTATATAATAATATATAGATTTGTATTCACATAAATATGTATATATATATATATATAATAAAAAATAATAATAACGGATAAAACGGGATTAGGGCGAGGGTAAGTGTCAATTCATTTTCGTCTTCATCCCTCTACGGATTTATATAGGTATTCTGTATATATCTATCGTTCAATACATATAATTTATTTTTGATTGAAACGGACCGAATTTGAACAAATATTAATTTATATCCGATACAATGCCATCGCTACGTGCTACGGAAATAACACTCCTTTGCTGGGTCGGTCCACAAACCGAGACATTAGGGATTGTCGTGACCATGTAGCATTTCTCGATTAATAAAGGTCCGCCGATCGGACGGTGGTAGTTAAAAGAAAGTACATAAAAATGACGAAGTACGATCAAAGTGGGCCCGGGAAATAGTCCTGTACTCCTGTTGCACTATTTTGCGTGTGATGTTGATTGCTTTACACCCATCAGATGAAACCCAAGGATTTGGTGGGACCCAAGTATTAAATTGATAAAGCTACAATTCGTAGAGGGTGTAACGCCATTGCCAAGCAAAAGGGGGAGAAAGAAAAATGGCGGTTTAAAATTTGAGAAAATTGTCCTTATTTTTCTTAGAAAAAAAGTATTGTGCGGCGTTAATGTTTTGTTGGCTTCATAAAAAAGTTCAAACTAATTTTAAATATTTTGTAAAAGTTTTTTCTTATTGAGATTAAGGGTTCAAATCACCCTTTTCCCTCTCTTTGTTCAAAAAAAAAAAAATATTAGTGAAAAACGATGACATATCAACTATCCACCTTGGTATAACTAAAAATATACCGGTAGTATCAAGCTTATATTTTAAAACAATTACAATATAACAAGCTTGTGTTGCTAGCACAAACACTACTTCTATAACAGACTATTATTGAATTAGGAGTAATTTGTACTTGAAGACACCGTAAGTGAGAAGTAATAAATTTGAGGGGAGAGAGGGAGAAATTCAAAGTAAATAATTTTTTAAGAAATATTAGTAGTCATAAATGAGTCTATTTGAGACTGTCGACAAACTTATTAAAACATATTATATTTTATATTATAAATTATATATGTGATAATACTGAAGTTATTAAACGCCGTTCAATCGAGGGAGTACCACCCATGGCAAATCCATGCCTTCTTAGAAAAACATTAGGCACTACGCAAGATCACTTAAGGTTTCTACACAAGACAAGAGTTTGGAATCTGGCAATTCATTGGGTAGCAACATCTCTTCCTCTAAATTAAGTCCGTCTCTCACCCGAATTAAAGGCTTTTTTATATTATGATTGTAATTATCATCTTCATAGTTGAATGAAATTTCAGTTTACTGTTACAAAAAAAAAAAAAACAAAATTGTCCGTCTTATGTTGTTAAAAAATATTTTTCCAGGCTAACTTTTTTTTTTAATCATCCATCCCTTGATTGCATAGCCTGAT